CAAGTCATTGCGGCCAGATGGGTCCAGATGTGTGATTGGAGGTTTGAGCCTTGGTGGTTCCTGTGTTGTTCATGAATATCCTAATGAGTGTCCTCTCATCTGACGGTGACAGTTTGGATGTATACTTTTGACCCCACTTGGATTAAAGAAAAGGTGAATGCTGCACAATCATCCACCCTGGAAAAAGAGCAGTTCAAACAAATCAGTAAAAACCCCAAATTGCCCTGACATTCATGCCCATGATGCGTGTATGTAAGCTATTAACCACACAATAACACTGATCTCATTTTTTAAACTTTGTGTTTAATAGAGGCATCCACCATCTTGATGGTGCATACAAGAAAATCATGATAGATCCACTTTAATATGTTTGCTTTCCTCAATGCTTTAGTCAATCAATGACAAAGCTTATGCCTTAAAGAGCCAGAGAGGCTAGATAAAAATTCTCTTTCTTGGTGAGGAATCAGGGATGGTCTCACCAGGAGATGTAAATGTTTTAAACCCCAGGAGTTTTGCCGTCTCGGTTTTTATGAGCCTTTATTCCACAATGAAACAGCAGAGGAGGAGGCGTACTCTGTCTCAGACACGATTTGTAGCAATGGTTACACGGGGGTGTCATTGTTTTTGCTTGAATGGGCTCCTACTTTGAGAACAATATAATTAGCTGTTGTCTCATTGAGGATGTGTGGTTTGTTGTTGTTTTTTATACGGCAACCACAGGATAAAGAACGCTCAGATATTGTGGAATAAAGTGCAGATTTCACAAACATGAATCACATGTGAGTAACTCGGTAGCATTTCTGTTACATCTACCACAGACATCCGTTATAAAGTAATACAGCTTCATTAAAAATCAAGAAAGTGCTTGTCTTCCACCACAATGACATAACTAGTCGCAAGACGGCACCTTTATTAGGTAGTGGGCAGCTCATCCACGTTCTAAAAAAAGTTCATTCTTAATTTATTTGCTTCCTTTGACGTAAACAACATTACTCTGAAGTTATTCTTACACCCTTCAAGACAAATGGCTCTAAATGATGGTGTCAGAAGGCGTGATCAGGTGGTTAACATCTGAAATATGTGTTGGTGTTTTGCAGTCGACACATCACATTCCTTGTAAATATTTATTATGTGGTTTCGAGGCAGGTCCTGAACAGACACTTGACAGTATAAATACTAAGACACCAACTTTGACACAGTTATAGAAGAACGAACACAGAGAAGATGGATAAAATGATGTTTGGAAAGACACACAGCTTATTTATCAGTTGAAAAGATCAACTTGCCGCATTGGATTCAAAGTTGTTGTTTTTTCTATCTAGTAATGGAAAAAGACCCAAACTGGAAAATGGAATACAGACTGGAGTTAATGGTGCTTCTTGTTTTGTTGATAACAGCTTCATCTATCGCCCTGAGCAGAAAAGATACCACAGAAGCCATGGTAAGAAAATACAAAACAAGCTGGATCTGCTGGAATATAATCTAAAATATTAATGTAAAAATCACAGTCTCCGAGTCTAGAATTTGCATACAATTCGCTGAGAATTAAAATAGAAATACTTGGAGCATGCACTGCTGTCCAGTTTTAACATTACTTCCACAGAGATCAGCAGAAACTGGATTTTTAATTGTCTTAAGCTCACCAATGTCACTGTAAGGCCGGATCTCTATATAATTGGCACAAATGGAAGTAATTCCTCAGCTGGTAATGGAGCATCTATATTCAGTCAACCTCACCTCACCCATGCTGAGATTATTTAGTTTCAGTGACCAAAAATAGTCAAGTAACATGTCAAAAAAGAAAGAACAATTGTTTTAATCTGTTTAGTAGAGATCAATAATTTAATATCCCTCACACTGTCTGCCATTCTTTTAGGTTTACTTAAAGAAGTATGGCTACCTGCACATCCCACTGGACAGTAAAGTTCAAGATTATTCACATGAGCAAATGACGGAAGCTTTAAGGTTAACCATCTTATCAGTTTACATTGTCCTCATTCACTATTTAGACTTCATTTCAATTGAAAGTTCAAACTTTTTTTTTAATGTCAGAATGTTTCAGAAAGTGACCAACCTGCAGGTATCAGGAAAACTGGATTTAGCCACGCTGGCAATGATGAATAAACCTCGATGTGGCCTCGAGGATTCTTTCGATAACAAATCTCTCAAATATCGAGTCCTGGGTAGGTAACGGTATACATATTGGATTTTTAATGTGTAGTTTATGTGCATATAAAGGATTTTGAATGATAATTTCACAGGTTACTGGCGTAAGAAAATGCTGACGTACCGCATTTACAATTACACTCCTGATCTGGGTCAGGGAAAGACTCGCATGGCCATCCAGAATGCTTTTAAGTACTGGAGTGATGTGTCACCTTTAAGGTTCAGAGAGTTGGATCAAGGAAGAGCAGACATCAAAATCTCATTTCACAGAAAAGACAAGACGTGTCCAGTACCCTTTGATGGCCGAGGTAGGACCTGCATATGAACAAAGAAACTCCAAAGTTTTGTGATCTGAGTGACTTCTGGTATTTAATTAGAATCCTTGCTTCATCTTTAGGCCGTGTTTTAGCGCATGCTGATGCCCCCGAGTCTGGCATTGTGCACTTCGATGAGGATGAACTGTGGACAGAAGGGAAGAGTTCTGGCTCCAACCTGAGGATTGTAGCAGCTCATGAAATTGGCCACGCTCTAGGCCTGGGCCACTCACAGTACTACAATGCACTGATGGGACCTGTTTACAATGGATACCGCTCTGACTTCAAGCTTCATTCAGATGACATACAAGGGATCCAAGCTTTATACGGTATTGCCAAAATGTTATTACAGCACCATATGAATATATCTTTGAAGTACTATTTATGCAAACTACAATGCTATCCCTTTTCAGGAAAGCCAGAGAAGATTCCTGAATCCAGAAATCCAGGACAGTCAAGGCCAGGAGGAGTTATTCCAAATCCATGCAAGGCCACTGTGGATGCAGTTATGTTGGGTACAGAGACTCTGATGCTCTGATACAAATTCCTTTATATATGCTTTGCTCTGTATTTTGTTTAACAAAACACGAAGATGCTTCTAAAGATATTTTTTCTCCTACATTTTGCCCCTGCAGGTCCTTTGCGTAAGACATACTTTTTCAGTGGGCAGTATGTGTGGACAGTGTCCAACTCTGACTACAACACTCCCATCCAGATTTCCGCACTGTGGAAGGAGCTGCCAGGAAGTCTCAGTGCAGCTGTTCACTCTCCGCGAACTGGCAAATCCTACTTTCTGAAAGGTTTATTCAGTAGTTTTATCAGCAGCGTTCAGAATGTTTAATTCCAGCTGTGTGTTCTGTTTGGTGTGTTTTCTGAATTCAAGTGTCTTTCCTCTGCAAACATCCTTTCACAGGAGACAAATTATGGAGATACACAGGCTTCAAACTTGACCAGGGCTTCCCCAAACGTTTGTCCAACATCCCTGCAAATATTGACTCTGCTTTTTACTTCAATAAGAACCAGAAGATTATCTTTTTCAAAGTAAGATGATTTTCAGTCTTTTTGTTGTTTTTGATATCTGAACTCAGTCAATACTTTGCTCTTTATTTCAGGGCTCTGGATACTGGCAATGGGATGAAATTGCTCCGACGGATTTCAAATCATACCCTAAACCAGTTGGACAACTCTTCAAAGGGATGCCCAGCAACACTGATGCTGCACTAACGTGGACTAATGGTTATGTATACATATTTAAAGGCACCGAGTATTGGCGTGTAAACCAAAACTACCAAGCAGTGGAGAAGACCTACCCTCTCAACACTGCCTTGCGCTGGATGCAGTGTGACGACTGAGCCACCAGAGGCCACTGGGGACTCAACATTAACCTTATCTGCACAATGACTTGGTTTAATAACAGTGAAACAAGCTCACAGTATGGGTATTGGTTATGTGGGTGTGTGCAATGATATTTGCTTCTCAGTCCTGTCATGTTGAGAAAAAAAGGAATACTAAAGCTTCCACTTACCTAATTAAACTAACAAATAAACTAGTAACTACCGGTAGTTAAAATAGTTATCTTTAATTATACATACTTCTGCTTCTCTTCCACTTTAACATTAAATAAACAGACCAATCAACCAGGATAACAGAGGAGAGGACATTAATCACAGAACATGTGAGGAATACTTCCCTGTAGCCTTCCCCCTGGTTGCATTTTATTGGTGTATGTGTACATTATGTCAGTATATTATATGAGTTATATCAAATGTTGTTAGGGTGCCCTTTTTAACGTCTGGCCACAAATGCCAGATAAAGGAGTCTTGGTAAAATCTAAACGAATCAAATAAAACCAAAACAGATTTTTGTGAAGCTCACGCTGCTCTTAACAAAGCAGGAGTCTTAAGAAGTCAGAGCAGGTGGAAAACACCTGTGTAGTTGTGCATGCAGTGTCTTTGAAGGATAAGGTCACTTTACATGATAAGAAAGTCAACTTCAGACACGTGAACAAGATCAGCAGGCGGTTTTCACCACATGGAGATCTTCCAAATACCTAACTTCTGTGTTCACTTTTATTTAGGCACCAGTTTATTATAATTAATTAAAATGAAACTAAAAACTACAACTCGATGTGAACAATTGAAATAACTGAAATAAAAATCAGACTTTGAATAGGCTGATCGAAAATGATATTGTGCATTCAGAAAACTAAGAATTTATTTTGCTGCCATGTGGTTCTATTGGAAACATCAGAAGACTTTGTTGTATGTGTTTTTCCGTGACCGTAATTTTTCGATTACACTGTTGTGTTCTAATATCTATTCTGGACTTCTTAGCACTTGCCCTTAACAAATACCACCCACATAAAAAAAAGACTGTATTAAAACTGGACATCGTCAGACCATAAAAAGCTCAACTGTGAAATGTGCAAACCAGCGGAAACTAGCTGAAGCTACACTGAAATGAAAACTTTAATTCAAAATGAAATGAAAATTAGAAGGAACAAAAAAATTGAAACTGTGTTTACTCAGACAAAAGACAACGGCTCAAAAATGTGAAAAATGTAATTTCCACTTTCTTTTAAAATGTCTGTGGAGAAGTTTTTTGCTACGATAAACATCATTCTGTACAAAAATGTCCATAATATCATTGTGCATGTACAAGGACAATAAAGGGCTATTCTATTCTATTCTAAATCCTTGCACGTAAAGTGCAAAGTTAACATAGCTGAACAGTAGCGACATTAACTGAAAAAACAAAGGGTGGGAAAAAAGTGGAATTAACATTTAAACAAGTGTGAACAAAGGGAAGGTTAACCTTAAGAACAAAACTGACATATTCATACATTATAATTAAAACAATGTTCCAGAAATCTTGGGCCCATTTTCATAGTGTTCATAGACTTCTTGTTTTCTTCTTTTCTGCTAACCTGAACCCCACAACCATAAAACTGTACAGAACAAAGTGCATTGACCAAGTGGCAACATCCAGAAGGGACTGCAAATCGAAGTCAACACTGCAGTTCCTCAAGTGACCACTTGAGGCTGGCTCCGTAAAGTGAGTCTGTACTCAGAGACTCCAGTGCGAAAAGGCCAAAGTTTAGCTATGGCATATTTACAGTCTAGTACAAAAATGGCTTTGTTCTCTATAATTAAATCCCTCATAATAATTACAGGTTTTTTTGAACTGTTTAAACTTTCAAGGCTGGTAGCTGTCTATTATCAACTCTGAAAAACTTCTCAAATCTGTTTGTATCTTTTGGAGCATTTTTAATACATTTATATACCAAATCACATGGCTCGCTTAGCACTAATTATAAGGTATCTGTGTCTGCATGATGCATCCATGCAGTTTACGGATCAAGCTAATGGTAATATTAGTAGATAACTCAGCCCGTTTGTCCAAATTTGGTCACTTCTGATTCCAAAACATGCAACATGCTAAAGAAATGCTGAACTAAAAGCTAACTAAAACTGGATTTAACATTTAGACACAAGAGGTTCTTGTTTGTGAAAGGTCAGAGAATGTAAACATGAATGACATCGCGCTCTGTAATGCTGGCCAGCTGCATTCTTCTTTTATAGCAGTGACAAAATGGTGTACAGAAAACAGCTGTACAATTACTCCAAGAAGGCGTGTGGATTTTTTTGTGACCTAGTCATGATTTTTTGGAGGAGATACAGTTTCTGAGTCAAATGTATTTGTGACCTACAAATAGGAGAATTTTGATCTAGCCTCTCCAGAACAGATATCTTCAAAGAAGGACAACACACTAGAGGAGTATAGATGGATTAATAACAGTACAGAGCAGAGGAAAAGCATGTTTTATTTAACCTCTTAAAAATAAGGATGTAACCTTCAAAGATGAAATAACACATCATCTGGTTTTCAAATTCAAACTTGAACTCATAAACAACTACCACACTCTTCACAGTTTTAATACCATCAGTGTTTTCGATGCTGCTGACATTCTTATCTTTGGTATGATTGCATAAACATCACGTTGCTGATTTAATGACTCTTAACATAAGACAATACCCAAAACAGCTGACTGTGAAGCTGTCTGATCAACATTTTATTGGTCTACCGTTCAGAATTATATGTTTTATGTATATCCTTGGTTTCATTGCATGCGCTGGCACACATTTATCTTTTGTAGCTGTAATGATTACATTTCAGTGCAATCTAGATGTGTTACTGATCTATGTATGTACACAGTGACATAAGCAGAGTGTTTAAGATTGTAATGATATTGCATGAAACAAAAGAACTCATCTGAGAGTTAAACTGCTCAAAGGATTTAGTAGTCATGGGCCTGATGCTGTGTTGAGGTTGCATTAATTTGTCTTGTCATCATTCAGGGGATGATCTCCAAGTACCTCATATCAGTCTGAGCATGCTGATTGTTATCTGATGAAGCCAGTAATAAGGATTCAAACCACAAGTTGAAACTGTGGAAAGGTGTTTGTGATGGTCAAAAATTCAAATGATTAATTATTCCTCAGACATATGTAACCTATAGTTGCTTGAAGCCATGTTAATCAAACTGTGAAGACTGGAGAGGAAGTGGTCAGAGGCACCATGGAGCCTGTTTCAAAGTCAAAGTCAATTAGAGTGTGTGTGATAGTGCTGACGGTGCTTTTAGAGGAGCCGGTTCCCATCTGACGCTCCTGAAGGCTCTGAAGATAACTCTGCAAGGCAAACAAAGGGAGGATGCACTGTTGTTAAACTGGCCATTTACCATGGAGACAAATTATACACAGTGAGAACCTAGAACAACTCTGGTGCTCCACAAAGCTGCAGTGGGCCTTGTTTACCAGTTCATGTATGAAAAGTGTGCTAATACTAATGTATACTTGTGTCATGTCAATTTTATTTATCTAGCATATTTTGAAAGAGACAGAAGATAACCCAAAGTCATTTCCTGGCAAACGTATTTACATCCAAGATCTCCAGCAACCCAATTTCAAAACCCAAAACTACCTAAAAACTTAAATTAAAATACGATAAATAAAACAGCAACAGAGCAACATAAACAATTGTATACTTAAAAAAAA